ACTTTGCTTTTTAAACACGAATTCATTTAGGTTTAGCAGTTTTATTCCAAAATTCTTCGTGGCTTTCATGGTCACTAACTTCATTAAGGTATAAAGGTATGCATTGGTTTCAACTATACACACATTAATTCAATGCCCTCTATATTTATAATCATTTCAATGATTTGCCGAAAAACTGGAAAAAAAAATAATTTGAAATTAAATCTTAAGTTAGAAAAACAATCCGAATTGGAAAAAAAATTGAAAACATTTTCCATGTTCGCAACCAAATCTTGAATTATACATTTGGAGGAAGTGGTTTAAAATAAATTATAACACCCTGTAAACTTAATATTTTCCTAACTATTAAACTACAAAATAATATCAGCCTCTGTAGGAATGTCTTATCAATTCTAGAATATTTTTGTATTCCTTCTACTATCAAAAAAACGTTCATCGTTAATATTGCCTAAACCTACTCTGATATTTTTTTCTCTTTGTTCCCTTTTGGTGCTTCAAAAGTGTAGATGATCACTTGGAAGCAAAATTAAAAGAAGGAAGGATTTTCCATGATCTATTTATATTTTTCTCTTGTGTATTCATCTACATCTTTTTCTGTACTTGTGTCTAAATTCATATAAAATATTTTTGTTCACTTTAGTTACAAATGGTGACACTCAGTCTTTTTTACTCATGGTGCCACCTCATCATCCTACATGGATTTAGGTTTTGATAATCCATTTCGGGTTGTCCTTTTCCATTGTTCATTAGGTGGGAGACAGAAAAATGGCTTTGGCCGGGAATAAGAAAATACAATAAAAATTATTATGTATAGAAGTCAATCTCGCTGAATACAATCGTATTCAATATCCAATGACCAAGAAGAATGAGTGTGTATTTAAAAAAAAAAGTATAAAATGTTGATTAAGGGGGAGAAGTTGTATCATAAACTAATTAAATGCGCCATTTGCAACATATATATGTTATGGCTAGATTTACATCTCAACGATCGTGGTTTGTTTTTAATAGTTACTAGGTGGGAACCGCGCGATGCGCGGTTTATTATTTTTTGTTGTCAATATAAAATATTTGCTATTTTATTATGGAAAATCATTGATATAAACATATCAAGAATTATATATTGATATATATAGAAAAGAAAAAGATGAATGAATATATTAGAAAATTATTCCTTATATTTTATTAATTTATAATTATATATTTTTTTTAAATTTTATTTTTTAATATCCAATCACTTATTTCTTCTGTGTCAAACAATCTGTTATATAGAATTCTTCTGTGTCAAACAATCTCCTATATAGAAGAGACATACCAAAATAATATGAGTATAAATTAATTTGTAAATTAAATATGTGGGTTTAAATTACTTGGAGTAATTGCAATGAAAATATTTGATGTTGTCTTGAAAGCCAGTTACACATAATACGTATTATCAACTTTATGTACAATCCAAAACATCATATGGCATATAAAAAAACAGATAATGAAATAGAGAAAAATCATTAATACAACAAAAAAAACCAACTAAACATAACGTCTCAAGAGATAGAGTGTATCCGGTTTTTGGGAGGTTTGATCTGACCCTTGGTGTTATGCGACTTTTCCATCGAAAATAAACCTTCAAAATTTCTTTGGAAGTAGATTATATTGTATATTATCCTGAGGTAGATGTCAATGGTATGATATATCTCGTCTTCGATAACCGTGTATTGTTCAAAAATGAGTTCAACAAATCAGGTTAGATATAGTGAGACTTCCTTTCCGGTTTTCAAGTACATAATACGTATTATCAACTTTATGTACAATCCAAAACATCATATGGCATATAAAAAAACAGATAATGAAATAGAGAAAAATCATTAATACAACAAAAAAAACCAACTAAACATAACGTCTCAAGAGATAGAGTGTATCCGGTTTTTGGGAGGTTTGATCTGACAGTAATTTAAACCCACATATTTAATTTACAAATTAATTTATACTCATATTATTTTGGTATGTCTCTTCTATATAGGAGATTGTTTGACACAGAAGAATTCTATATAACAGATTGTTTGACACAGAAGAAATAAGTGATTGGATATTAAAAAATAAAATTTAAAAAAAATATATAATTATAAATTAATAAAATATAAGGAATAATTTTCTAATATATTCATTCATCTTTTTCTTTTCTATATATATCAATATATAATTCTTGATATGTTTATATCAATGATTTTCCATAATAAAATAGCAAATATTTTATATTGACAACAAAAAATAATAAACCGCGCATCGCGCGGTTCCCACCTAGTAATACAAAAATAATAACGTTTTGACCCGGAAAATCTCATAGGTGAGATTATTTATTGAACGTGCTATACGGGACATTTCATGAGAAACTAGATGTCGTAAATACTTATAATTAATATACATATATATATATATATATATTGTAATACATGTTCGGCCCATGATTCATTGATTTGAAATAACATATTGTCCTATCTTTTGATTTTCTTTTTTGTGCTATATAAAAGATGGTAGCATGCGTATTGATGTATGTATTGTTTTCCATGTGTTAGTTGATTTATATTTGGAATTTAGAAGGAGAGAAGAGAGAAAAGTCAAAGACTCAAAGGTGGTGAGGAGAAGATTGGGCGTGCAAATGGTCACAAATCAAAGTGGTTCAGATTATGCGATGGTAACATCATATCTAACGTGTCTGAAATTACAATCTCCGCTCTCTCTTTGACCGGTCAATCTCTCTCCCCCCTCGGTTTGCATCTTTGAATGAACATTTCTTTGGGTTAATTTCATATGAGCAAATGAAGAATCCCGAGGGGAAGAATTCTTTTGGCATATTCCATGCGTTGGAATTTCGGTACTTTGCTTAGTGACACGTATTACATGATTTTTATGAAGAAAAATTGGATGATTGTGTTTTTTTTGTACATAATATTATTTGGTTTTCAGTATGGTAGTGCCAAAAAAAATGGATGCATCATATCAATATATATATTATTTATAATATGTTTAGAAACTATATAATAACGCATCGTGACTTATTCATTACCGAGATTGGAGTTGAAGGGAAGTGAAAATGACTCATGTAGTTTTCCACGTGCAGCTTACCTAATCCACCGGGAGTCTTACACAATGGATGCCCGAGATTTCTTCATCTACTGAATAACAACAGTGAAAACAATATTATATATATATATAATATTACCTTATATGCCACGAATTCATATACTGAATAAAATATAATATTAGATTTCCCGAGTTAGGTTGCATTTTGACACGAGCCACGGATTTCTTACTATTATACCATTCGATATAATTCCGCATTTATTAGAGCGTTAGATGCAATATGCGTAACAATATCGAGTTATTCGATTGATCAAATTACAGAAATCGTCATACATCCATACGATTGAATAATGAAACTAATCAATTTGGTTACATACATAGAAAATTTGGCACCTCCTCCTCTCAAGGTGAAGAGACGGCCTCGATGGCACTCCCGAGTGGCCAAGCAGCTTCCACGGCAAAATCTCCATACTTCACTTGCTTCACTAACGTTATCTTCTGTGATGGCTCCAACCCTGTTTAAACCCGGTACCCCCGGAAAAAAAAAACGGAACCGTCGTTATATAGATTCGTTTAACGAATAACTCGAAAAGGGCGGTTTGGCTTTACCGAATCCGTCAACGAGAAGAGTGTATTGGTAAACCAGATCCATACACAAGTACGGGAGGTTATCTTCTTCCACACGTGGAAACTTCGATTTCCCGTCTTCCATCTTCGTATTACAAGCCCGTTTTGCGGCTTTCTCGAAATCCGAGGGTCGAACTTTAGCCACGGGTTGATTACCTTCGATGAATCCAGCCTGAATGACCGAGTTTTTACTCTCGGATTAGTTAATAATGAACCGAACAAGCAGGGGTTTTTTTCTTGCAAGAATTTGATGTTTATTGTTAATTACCTCATAAGCTCGGTCGAAGAAAAACGAAGCGATGAAAAGATTCCGTTGGCCATCGCCTCCGCCGCCGTTCCATATGCCGCCGAATGTGCATCTCATGTGTGTGCAGAGGGAATCGTTCACTTTGAGAGCGTTAAGGGCGACCCTTCGGCACTCATCGAGACTTGCACCAGATGGAGAGGCAGTAGCCTTGTGATTTTGTCCTCCATACTTGTAGGTACCTAAAATGATATCCTCCCTAAGTTTAGATGGGAAAAAAAAATCTCATACGAAGAACTTTTCCAACTTATCTAAACTCGAGAGGATAGAGGACTGAGGCAGGCCTAATTAGGCTTCTCATATCGGAAATATGACAAAATTTGTGATTTTCGAGCTTTACTGACAAAATGGATAGAAAAGAATGTCGCATTTTATGATAGAACAACAACAGTCTCACTTACCATCATAGCCTGCCAAGATACAGGGGTTGTTCGAATCTTCAGAAACTTTCAAGATCTCTGCTCGGGCTGCCAGTAATCCATAATGCAAGTAACTGTAGTCAAGAGGCCGATTCATATGACGTTAAAAAGGTGAGGATGAAAACCAGATTCATGGATGCCATGTAAGAAAAACCAAAAGATCGAATAGGTATTGCTCAAGAAAACCCAATTTGAAGAAATATGAAATCATATGTCAGTGAAACAGATGACTAACCTGTGAACATAGAGGTAATATGTTTCACCCTTCAGATACATTTCCCTGACATATTCATCCTCTCCATCTAGAGGCTTTGGTGCAGTTGCAGCATCTTCCTTCGATATAGCGTAGGCCATTTGAACGGAACCCCCACCAAGATCGACCACTCCAACTGTGTTTGAGTACTTCTTTCCTAAATTCCTTAACAAATAGTTGATCGTCACCTGTAAAGTAAAAGACATTAGGAAAAAATTGTTGTTTTTTATAACCGGCTAGATTTTCGATCAAGTCCAAACCAGATCTTAAGAGGTCCAAAACTTGAGATTAAACGATCTTCTGACAGCCCAGACTTTGAACTACCACAACGTCATAGCGAAACTTAGTTCTTGATCAAAGTTAACCGAAGACTTAAGGTCAGTCTGTCTCCAGGATCTTACTACTCAGGATGGATATAAAACGATTGCAAGCATAGACCAAACGCCTTAAGAACAACAAGATAAATGCAAGACACATACAATGCACACATGAAAAACAGACATAAACAACTTTAGCCATACTTCCCAGGACAGGAAAACATGGCCTAATGTCAGACACTAGCAAATGGGTTCAGAGTTATTACAAAAAAAAAACTTAAAAAATCACAGTGACCTAAAGCAGCTTTAAAAGGCCTAAATCAACAAAATTTGAGGTATGCAAGTTCTTGAAAGTACATACCCACTGATACGATCCTTCCTGAGTACCATCCAGAACAGTGACTGCATTAGCCTCACTTTTCAGAGTGCTTCTCTCTTTCAGGAGATCCCTAACCTTATAAACAAAATCAATACAGTGTATAAGTGCTAGGTGAATGGGCGCTTCAGCAAGGAAAACGTATGGGAAGAAAGTTACCGCTTGCAGAATATTCTCAGATGCTTCATGACCCAAAGTTCTCAACCCTGCAGTTGCCTAGACATGATATAACAAAAAACATCATAAATGATTCACATAGGAAAGGAAAACATAAGCTGTAGCTCGGATTGTCACCATGTTAAGGAAGGAGAAAAAGTCACAATTCAGTTTCCCTACCCCAACTCTGACAGGAGTCTTGCGACGCAACTCACGGGGAACAGAAGCTTCTGCTTTGTCAAGAAGAGACATCAAAGAATTTGCTGCTTGTTGGGGATCATTGGCATATGCACTCAAGCCCGGTTTTAGCTGAAACAAGATAAGAGAAAATAACTTCAGAACCAAAACGTTGGCTAGTGAAAAGGATCCATAAAAGTGCACAAACAAGTGATCTAAGCACCTAAAATATAACAGAGCAAGAAACTAAAATATGGTTGCCTCAATGGTGTAAGCTTCCTTTTGCTTTCCCAGAAGCACAGCGTTTAAATGAATTGTGGACCTTTGGAAGCTAGGATATGCATTTCCAAATCTGAATCACGTCGGAATGTTGCAAGCCCAACCATTGGACCAGGATCAAAGATAAAAAAGATTGCAGAAACGATAACCATTTGACAGCATATTCTTCCTTCTCTTTCTCAAAACGATAAACATTCTACAACCCATTACTTCGAGGCTCATCCCATCAGCGATTCCAATAAAAACCGAATTTCAAATCACATTTGGGAAAACTAAAATCAGATTAACTTATTTAAACAAATGTATCACAGCAACAAACTGTATCAAGTGATCCAAGCATCATACGATCTATCAAGAAACAAGAAGTGAAAGCAAATAAAACTTCTAACGCCACACCTGGCTTCCATTTCGGATGCGGTGATAGCTAAGCATGAATTCCAATTTGATAGACTATCAGAGAGAGAGAGAGGGAAGTAAAGAAGAAACGCATTACCTGAAGGAAGAGCTCAAGTTCATTGCCCATAGGAACAAGATCCAAATTCTGATCGAAGCAGTACACATGCACGCGGCTTCCAGAACTCCCCGCATCGAAGATCACGGCGTAATTCCTCGGACCCCTCGAACTCGGTACGAGCTTGCCGCTATTAGCCTCGTACTCCTTAATAACCGCGGCGGAAGCCGATCTCCCGGGCATCAGAAGAAGAACGAGAGAGATCAGGACAAGAGGAACCGAAAAAAGCAGAATAAGACCGCGATGGCGCTGGATCTTGTCGGCGAGGGGTTCATGCCGTCGCTTAGCCGTCATCTTACCGCCGTCGATGGAGAGGAGGCCCTGGTGAGACTCGGAGGTAGGAGAATGGCTACCGGATGAACCAATAGCCGGACCGGACTCCAGGAGCTCGGGGGAGGAGAAAGAGCGGTACCGGATCTGGCCGTTGCCGGTGGCGGAGGACGCCGTCGTAGTTTTCAAGGACTGCGGCGGATCCTGTAACGGCTCCAGATCGGCGATCGATTGCAATGTGCGGCTACAACCGCCTGATAGAATCGATTCTGGTTCTGCTCCAGACTCGAATTGTGAATCTGAGAGCGAGAGAGGGAGAGAGGACGACGAGATCTTCGTGTGGAGTTGGGATATTTCGCATGGAAATATAAGGGATATGATGATGTTTTAAAAATATTTCTTTTTTATTTTTAAGTTACCTTCTCTATTTAATTGAGACATTTAGTACGTATGACCTAAAGAATGTACGTTGGAACAAAACCGATTTATATTTAAAAAATTAAAAATTTAATTATTTATATAGAATTTTTACATGATTCAGATATTTAAATAAAAGTTTTATAAAAAATGGATATTTATATTAGATTTTTCTTTTTATATAATATATGTATTTTCAAAATAAAAAAGAATTTAAAGATTACTAAAAACAAAAATAAATCCAAAAAATAACTGAAGAAACGACCGAAATTTAAGATATATAAAAAAAAATGCTTAAAAATTTCTGAACTAATAATTTGGGATAATATATAGATGCACCTATTTATTAATAAAACCTGTATTTTTGAACATAATAATTTTTAAATTTGCTTAAGAGTTTCAGCCTATACCACTAATTAACCAAATTAAAGTTTAGTAATTATTATATTCAAAAATATAATAAAAAATGAAATTTCGACAATAAATAAAAGCATGTGTATTTTTACCATGTACAAATGCCAATACCTAAAACGTTTGGAGTAGAAAACAAATAAATATCTTTGCCCAAAGACATTTGGAAACGCCAAACGATCATCATCAAGGAATCTAATTGAATTCAGAGAACTATTATCAGAATCTATTGCTCCATGTGATGAACTTGATTTATAAGAATCCCAATCGTAACACAGACCAACATACTTTGAATCCATTCAAATCGGTACCAACAAAAGAATCATCATGCATCGGTTCTTCAAATGTAGAGCATCATCAATGTCAATGATTCTCAAAGATTCAAAGCTCGAAAGCGGATGGTAATCCAAAAAAACACATTGCGTTCACTCCAACAGTAAGATCTCAACGGTAACTCTTCTGGAAACGAGCACGAGCACCGCGTCCGCCGAACTTCTTCGGCTCGCATCTCCTCGGATCAGCCACAAGCAATGTCCTATCGTACCTCACCAGGATGTCCTTCACCTCCTTCTTCGACTGCTCGTCGACGTACTTCTGGTAGAACGCCACGAGGGCCTTCGCTATGCTCTGACGGATCGCGTATATCTGAGAGGTGTGACCACCGCCCTTGACGCGGATCCTCATATCGACTCCGGCGAAACGGTGTCGTCCGAGGAGGAGTATGGGCTCGAACGCCTTGAACCGGAGGATCTCTGGCTGAATCAGCTCGATCGGACAACCGTTGATCTTTATCAGACCGGATCCGCGTTTGCAGTAGGTGACGGCGACGGCCGTCTTCTTGCGGCCGAAGCATTGAACAGATTCCACTGCCGGTTGTGTCGCCATGGCTGCGAAAACGAGGATGGATGAGACGGCCAAAAACCCTAAAAGCGTCAGAAGTGAAGTTGAGCGAATTTGGGGATTTTATAGCAAGGCTCAAGAGATGCTAGGGTTTCTCTTTACCAAAACGCACCGTTTCACCACTCTTTTTTTCAATTGAGTAAATTGGGAAAATACATTTATATCAATATTTTGGCAGAAAATTGAAAAACTAGAAAGAAAAAAAAGACCGATTATTAAAAAAATATTTTTAAAAAATTAACGAAAACAAATCAACTTTTCTAAATTGGCACATCCAATATGCATAAAAAATCGTAGTATTTTTTTTTAAAATAGAATTTTTATCACAATTTAAAAAAGTTGCATTTTTGTCAGTAATTGGAAAATAGTTCAAATTTCTTTTCATATTTTCAAAACTTTTGATGATTTTTTTTTCTGTGTGCGAAAAATTAAATATTTTTACCAATAATTGATCTGAAGAAAGCACGAACTATGCAAATGTCGGCGTCCGACCAAAACAACGTTTTATCAAATCTCGAAACTTGGCTGTGGTCAAAAGACTTACATATAAGACAAAGTAATGAAATAAATGTCATCATCATCCTTGCGTCTCTATCACCAATCAAACAGACAACGATCCATACCTCTTCGGTCCAATGTCACTCTACTCTCACCATATACCAAATCGCCTTTTTTTTTTCAGTATGCTAAGTTACTAACGCCTCACAGGCAACTGAACTGACCATTGAACTTTCCCATTAACTCTTTACCAGGCAGACAACGATCCAGTAGGAACCCATTAACAACTCCCTTGTTCATATGTCGGCTGCAAGGAAGTTTTGAGGCAGAGAGACCTACCAAAATTTACCAAAAAAAAGGTTTCTTTTTTTGTCAAAATGTCATATTTCTCAAAAATTGTGCCTTTGGGAGGAAGAATTAGAGAGGGGCATGTAGGCTTTTACCTTCTCTCCTAGTTTGAAGGGTGGGAGACCCTTGTAAGGGCATGTGCTGCATCTGAAAGCATCCCCCAGCCCGCACTGTGCGTAAATCGACCGATAAAAATCTTATTTCTTACGACATCAATCCGCAAATGTGAAAAAAGATGACATAAACCAAGATGCATAAACGAGATTTGGTGATTCTTACGCTGCCGCACGCTGATTGAGGATTCTCTAGCTGATCCTCAGTGAGATCCAGCTTCTCTGCTTTCTCCTCCATCTCCGCCCTACCACACGTGCAGTTCTTGCAAGCTTTTCTGTTGCTTGCAACTTCACAATCACCAACTGCCCAACAAAAAACCAAAAAAGAAGAAGAAGAAGAAACCCGATAAATCTTTTCATAGAGGTGATGGTTAGCAAAGATAAGAAGAGTGGGATTCACTTGTTGTTTATAGTTTACCAGAAGGGAGTTGAGGTTTCTTCAGATCTTCCTCTGTCAATAGAGAATCTTCATCTATAAGATCCGAGTCATCGTCTACATTAACCTTCAAGAGATTTTTCACGGGCTTCTTGATAGAAAACGATGAACCAATCTTCCAAGATGGTTTTTTTGCCTTGATCTGCATACGGAAAACATTATAATTCAGTTATAGGGATCACAGCATCTCTTGCGATAAAGAGGCTATAGTTCCATCATGCTTGAGGTCATGCCAGGAATTAAGGTAGAACCTCGAACGCGAATACAGACTTCTTTCTTCTACAAGTGCCTCGAGGTCGATTGTAGTGACAGATATTTACAAAAGGGCTCTTTTGATTCACATGAGCAGAAGTAAATGGCAAAAATCTTGAAAGAACAGAGAAAAGATAAGACAAGTAGGATTACTCACCCCAAAAGACAAGTTGAACTTAGACAAGGCAATGGATTTCAAGTCAAGAGATTGTGGTAAAATAAAACCAGCCAAAAGCATGCTTCGCTGAAGAACCTGTAATGAAGAGTCCATGAGATGTCCACTTGTAAAAACAAGAAATAAGTGAAAAGAAACACCATTTATATTTGACCAACTATGCAACACAAACCTGCTCGGTTTCCCCAACTTGAGGATCCAAGTTCTTGCATACAATAACAGTGCCGCCAGGTTTCAGCATTCTTGAGATCTCACCATACAATTTATCATTAGGAAATGCAGATGATTTTGAGATTGATAAAACAATGTCCACGGAAGAAGAATCCAAAGGAAGCTGATCTGCAGATAGATCGACAACTCAACATTACAAGGCAAGCCCAATATTCGAGCTTACGAAAAAATTCAGCCATAAACCTTAAAGCCTGGTTAATATCCCTTTCAGAACACATACTACACCTCCCCGATTTGTATCCATGCAAGCCACAAGATTCAACCATGATCTCAAGATTTCCATTCTGTAGTATAGTCTACTTCCAAATGCTCGACCGGGAAAGGTGGGATCAGACCAATAAAACTCCTATCAAGGATGCATCTTCTCCACCAAAATCCAGAAAGTTAATAATTGGAACGAAAACTGAAAACCGAGGATTCGAGATATACTTAGGGTGGAAGCTTGAGTGATGATCAGAGGATCACATCGTTCGACCCCCTTATCTTGAAGCTCTTTCAATATGCTTAGAACAGAGCTAACAGGCAATAAAAGATCGTCCGTGACGGCTAAAACAGAAGTTCGAGTCCCAGCCGAATCCTACAAAACAAAAGCCGAACAAGAATCAGCACACTTTATTGCATAAAGAGATATGTTGCTCCAAGCGTTGTCGGGAATCAGCAGGGAGAATCAATGAAGCTCTAAGAGAACATCCAAATCCCCCTGTCGTCATTAACACAAAAGCTAACAACTTGATTTCAGGGAGAGAGAAAAAATCCTCGAAATCGAGTCAATTTTTTTCACAGCCTAGACAAAACGGATCGAAATGAAATTCCATCGAGATTTTCTGTGGCATCGGAACGAATTCTAACAAGATACAGAGAGTAAATTCGCGCAGTTCAAACTCCATTTCTTAAGATCTCAAAGGATCGATCCGGAAGAAAATCCGGAGAAAAACGTGAAATTTGACCAAAAAAATTTGAACTCACCATGTCGGGAATCTCTGCAAAACCTCTCCAGACACCCCCTGTGATTCTCGCAATCATGCACTATTGTAATGCATATATATGTATATTTGTTTGTATGCGTATATTTACGCCGACTCATCCTATTGTGGGGGGATTATTCTATGCGTCGCGGCACACAGTAACATCAGATGAAAGCTAATGGGTGGACAGGTGGCATGACGTAGCACGTGGGTAGGTGGACGCGTGACACTGTATCACGTGATACATGCGACAACATGCGGGGTTTTAACCCTAATAACCTACTTGGGTCGCAGCAATTTCAGGGTACACCACCGAAAAAAAAAAAAAATTGCGACCTTATTACGACTAATATATAACTAATATACAACTAAAATAAGAGTAGTTTATTAGTCGTAATAAGTTGTATATTAGTTATATATTAGTCGTAATAAGGTCGCAAAATTTTTTTTTTTTTTCGGTGGTGTACACTGAAATTGCTGCGACCCAAGTGGGTTATTTGAGTAATATTCTCACAACATGCCCGCCTTCATTTCTTTCCTTTCCCTCTTTCTCTTCTATTCGATCATAACCGTTTTCATATCGAATTCGATTTTATTACAAAAAAAAATTATTCGGTTCGATTTGATTATTCGATTAATAACCAAATAGTCACACCTAATGAGATTAGATAAAGCTCTTAATTATTACACAATCTCAAGCTTGGAAACATTTTTTTTTGTTTCGAATACAAACAAGAGAAAAAAAAAAATCGTGAATGAAAGATAGGTCAGAGGGAGGAATCAAGGGCCATGACGGTGGAAAGGTTCATAGGGTTCATATAGTTGATCGAGCCGGTGAAGATCTGGCGGACGATGATGCGATTAGCCTTCTCCGACGGATGGAACGCGTCCCAAAACACGTTCAGATCTCTGTTCCGACATAGATTCGATACGAACGTACATAGTCCCATTCCGTTGTACGGTCCTTGTCCGCAACATGCCACTTTCGACGTCACAAACCCTGCATACACACGATGCACGCATAACCCGTTGATAGTTATATATTGATACAAGTGAATAAAAAAGGAAGGAGATCATATATTACAACCATAAGCTTGGGGATTGCTCAAGAAATCCATCTGCATTTGGTGTGTATTCGCTGCAATAAACACGTTTCTCCCGATCTTTGTGTTCAACCCATTTAGCATCCGAACCAGCTGCGGATTGTATAGAGAGGCCGCTCGTTGGAGCGTGGCCGAGCATTCCCCGTCCCTCGATCCGCTATTCGCCAGCTCGGCCGGGGCGCACCCCAATGGCCCCGTTCCCGTTACTAAAACTCGACACACTCCTAGCGAATACAATCTCTACACATGTATACGTAAAAATGTACATATCATAAACTCTATAATTATGTAAACTCTGATCCATAATCACCGATCTATAATGTTATAACGTTTTAATTACCCATAGGATTTTCTTATACTCGGAGATAAGGAGTTTGACGTAATCAGGGAGGGCGAACTGACGAGATCGGGCCGAGTAGGGCACTAAGAAGTAGTTGTTGACGAAATCGTTGCCACCGACAGTGATCAGAACCAGCGATTGGCTCACGAGACGCCGCGTTTGCGTTTGCCCTATTAGGCGGCCGACTCGCGTTTGGTATTCCTCGAAGTTGTCAAGTTGCTCGTACATCCTTATAATGTTCAGCTGCATATACGCCGTGCGTGCGTGTACCAAAACCAAACTGGTTAATAACCGGAATAACCACAACATATCGAACCGGGTTTACCCCTATCGCTTTGTATTGATTGTTGTTCCTCTTTCTATAAATCTAAGTTGGCTATGGTTTAATTATACAAAATGTACGTACGAATTGAAAACCGGTGTCGTTGAGAATTCCGATTCCGGCGGAGGCAAAATTGGCGCCGTTAAGCAGTCTCCGGCCTCTTAGCTCCGGGCTTAGGTACGGCAACGGCGGCTCTTCATTCCCCATCTCCTGGCCTGAAAAATTTTCATCCTTTATCACTATATACAACATATACGTGCATGTACAAGTGAAGATTATCAAGTAAATTTATGAAAGACATGAGAATGTGATGAATCAAGAAGAATATGATGAAGAAATCATGAAAGAGTCATGAATCTATCGATCGGTACATGGACATGTATAAATAGATTAAAGTTTGTTTGGACCACTCTCAGACATAATGTGTCGCTATCCCTTAATTACAATAATTAAACCTGATTAAACCCTCTAATCCTTGCACATATTTGTATACATCTCTCCAAAATATGCATAACGCTAATTAATTAATGTTAAAAAAACACCCTTTTACTAACATAAAAGGCAACAAAGAGTCGGTTTAGGAAACGGAACGTAACTGATGAGATCGGGAAGGTTGAGGCCATTAGAGAATCGTCCGGTGGGCCGACGCGTCGGAAAATCGATTCCGTACGGAGGGGAATCCGCACGAGCCGTGGTCACCAAGTAGTTGTTGTTACCGCTGTCGACCAACGAGTCGCCGAACACGAAAAACGCACGTGCCTCCGTCACCCGGCCGAACATCATCGATACCAAAACCAAAAACGCAAGAAACATTCTCGTAACCGAAAGCTCGAATCTTGCTGTCGGAATCGCCATAACGTTAACCATTTTCCCTTTCTCCTTAAATTCTGGGAATGTCTAATGTGAGAGTGACGAAAGAATGAATGAACTTATATCATTTTTTTGCATTTTTTGTTTTCATGTGAATTTTTATGAAATTGTTTTGGACTACCCGTGACCATTGCAACAACCCAAAGTGTACATTTTCTTTGTCATCTTCGTTTAAATGATACAAAAATGTAATTAATTTACTTCTCTTTCCCCCTTTTGTAATGCAATTTTAAAATGCCACCTGTATCCAGCACTAGTTTCACAAGAAGTTACCAGAAAGTTTTTTTTTTTTTGGTGAAAACCCTAAAAGTATCATAAGCCAACGAAAACTCACATGAGACCTGTTTTTGGTTATAAAGAGAACAAATTGGAATTTATATTCCATATAGGAATTCAAGTCATAATTAAGATGTCTGTTTTTTATAATCTGACTTTTGGTTACCCAATTCAATGCACGACCAAATTTTTAGCGTTATTCATCATTCATCAAACACATGCGTTTTACGGTGTAAAAGCAGCATCTTTTTTTTTTGGGTGGGGGGCTTTTTGACCGTCTGTAAAGTTTGAGGCCTGAAATAAAGATAGAAAAGATTCAGAGGACTAATGTGACGGTTACATTTTTTTTTTTTTTTTTTTTGAGGAGTTAAAAGTGAAAATTGGTTAACTTTGGATAAGAAAAGAACAAAACAAGATGAAGGAAATCACGTGTTTCTCTCAATTAAATGACATGATACCTTTTTCACATGATTTCGTTTCCATAGGAGAAGCTTCAGTTTGGTAGAGAGGGTCTCGCGAGGAAGAAAACGACGTCGTCTTCGGTTTAACACAATAGCAAAACATAGTGATAGTATAATGCGTTTTTCCGATAATAGAAAAAAGACTTTTTTATATAAAAAAAAAAATGGCATAACGCAACTCCAAATTCAATCTGAACTTGTAAAATCTTTATTTGCTTATTTATTTTGATTTATGCGTTGTTCCATTAAATACGGAACGAAATATCCTCTTTACATTTTTTTTTATTAGGTTTAATTTTGCCATTTATCACTACACTGGTGTTCCATGTATGTAAAAAACATCTTATACTATGGAGAAATTAAAGTTATGAATTTATAACCTGTAATCTGATGATAACATTCTAAAACTTGACCTAAATAACGTTCAACTATCCATATGAGCTTTATTAATTTATTTAATTCCAGTTAATATTTTTATTGTTCGGGTCGAAGGGAAACCGACTCTACGAGTCCGAGCAATTTCAGACAAGCCTACGTGTCTGCCACGTAGACCGTCAAAACTGCCATGTCATCAAGCGCAAGACACGCTTACGACGCATTGCGAGATTTATTTATTGTTTTTTATTTATCAAATTTTTATGTCGAATTGGTACATAGAATTAGATCTTTTGGATTTGTATTTAGTTAAGCATTTTTGTTTTGAAAAAAAATTATATGATTATTTCAAATCTATTTCAATCTAGTTTAATTGTAACTGGGTTATTGTTAAAAATTAAAATAGTAATTTTTAAAAATTGTTCTGTTTTATATATTAATTAATTAGCTGAAAATATAATAATTAATTATATATTAAATTAAATTTAATCTAATTATATATTATACATGTTATTTATTTTATTTTCTGTATATCCAAACCCGGCCATTGTAATTACTACTACCTAATATTCTAATTATATTGTACCATAAGAAGAATCTAAAGTTTGGGATTCGCAAAGAGTCTGACATTTTTTTAAATACATTTTGACCGTCGAGAATAGAAGCTTAATTAACCTTATTACTATGAATATTATAATCCTATCTAATCCTCCGATTCTTATAAAATTCATGTTTATTTAATTTTATTATACTTTCTTTAAAATACTTAGTCAAATTTGAACACATGGAGAAGAGTTTTCTTGCAGCACGCATCAAGGGATGCTTGCTAGTTGTCTATTTTCAAAAAAAATCAAAATATGTACTTACGTACGTACCTATACATACACCATATATGCACTTACATGCATTATATGTATACGTATATGTATATGTGATGCGTGGTTGTTAAAAATAGAAAATAATATGGAAGAGACATAAAAAGAAATTAAGGGAGGTAGATGAAAACATTGAAGGAGTGCAATAAAAGTGAAGATAGTTTAGTTGGGTAGGTCTGTTTTTGTTTTAATACGCTTTGCCTCCATTTCTTATGCTTTAAATAATAATAATAATAATAATAATAATAATAATAATAATAATAATAATAATAATAATAATAAATTGTTTTCCTTATGTATTCTAATTAATATTACATATACATTGACAATCACGGACACTGCTATATATCAAGAAACTCTTTTTCATCAACCATTGGCTAACCTCCAATTGCATATACATATACATATACATATACACACACACATGTTGACATCTACCATATTTATATATATTGTATTAAAATAATAAAGTGGGTGTATATGAAACCGATGCAGGGCAATGATGATCTTGATCTTCTTCTTGAAATTAAGTCTCTGCACGTTTGCTTTTGCTCCTCCCCATTTCTGTATTTAACTTCATAATTTCCTCTCCACCCACCTCTCTTCTTCCCCATTTAACTCTCACACAGAAAGAGAGAGAGAGAGAGGTCACTTTCCTCTGCTCATTTTCCCGCGCCCACACTCAATTCATCCCAAGGAGGATCAAGATTTGGGGATTACTAATATTATATCTTTCTTGGTTTCTTGGTTTCTTGATCTCCTTTTCCATTTCTTGAAATGGTCCAATCTCTCTCTGAAGTGTTTTTGTCCTCTTTTGATCTCTCTGTCTACTGAATGAGATACAACCCCTCAAAAAGATGGAAGGTTTTGCAGCAAAGACAAGGCCGATTTATAGTAATAACGTCATCCGACTGGTTCATCGTCTTGACCTTCTTCTCCTTCTCCTTCTCCTAAGCCTCTTCCAGAATCAGAAGGTCAGCTGTGTCTCCCCCTTGGACTACACGAAGTACAGGCAAGTTAGCAGTTTGAGACTTGAGAGGATTCACAAGCACTTGAACAACATCAACAAGCCTCCTGTTTTAACCATTCAGGTACATTTGATTATATATATATATGTGTGTGTGTGTGTCTAAATGTATGCATACTGTTTTGCTTCCATGCGTATATATACAACTCATCACATTTTACAAAAAATAAAAATAAATCCCATGCATACATACATATGCATGCATAAGCGGTTATTTCCCTGTTCCATATGAACTGTGTATATTTATGCGTGTTTTTATATTTTTTGCTGAAATGCGTGTAAATATGCGTTCAACAGAAGGTGAAGATAAAAATATACATTGTGATATATATATATATATATATATATATATATATATACGTGTGTATTCATGTGTACATGCATGTGAGTTTGTCTATGCGTGTGTGTTTGTGTATTGGCTGGCCTAATCAATAACGTTAATTAATTTAGTCCGATATTATTCTCCTATATTATGTACATATGTAAAATGTATTCATGTACTTGCTTTGACGAATTTATCGTGCATATATATATATATATATATATAAATCTTTGAACTATTGACATATGATTGTTTGGATCTACATTTTAAATTCGTTTTACTCAATTCAAGACCTAGCTTTTCGACCTAATTTGCGACTGTACGTTACATATATATGTGTGTGTGTGTATAGATGCCTTAATCCATTTACCAAATTTGTTTCATTGGATAAGGTAATATAATTATCATTTGTGTTTAAAATAAAAACTATATATATATATATGTGATTTGGGTTGTGAAAATAATTAAATTGGTGCAGAGTCCAGATGGAGACATTGTAGATTGTGTGCATAAGAGAAAGCAACCTGCTTTGGATCACCCACTCTTGAAGAACCACAAGATTCAGGTTCCAATCTCTCACTAAGCAGCATTAATTAGCCTATGCACATCCCCATAATTTAATTAAATAAATAATAATACAATTATATGCCCAGCGAAATTTCATCATAGCTTCATATTTATGCAATATAATTATTAAAAGTCTTTTTCATTGTTTTTTTTTTTTTTGGTAAAAAAATGTGATAAATACGTAGAAAGCGCCGTCGAAAATGCCGAAGATGAGAGGCGACGTTGGAGGAGGAGCTAACGTAGCGGAAGGTGCATGGCAAATGTGGCACGTGAACGGCACGAGGTGCCCTAAGGGTACCGTTCCCATACGACGCAGTACACTACATGATGTCCTCAGAGCCAATTCTTTGTTTGACTTTGGCAAAAAGACCAGGAGAGTTGACCTCAATCGACGGTCAGAAGCGCCCGACGTCATCGGCAATAATGGGCATGAGGTATGTGCGCATTATATATATTTGTATGTATGTATATTTATGTATATTATTCAGATGTGTGTACAATCGTAATCCTTCATTGAAATATGGACCGATTCAACTGATTCCAATGTTTGTCCCGTAAAAAAAAATCGTAATAAATTAAAAAAAACATACGCATTTAATAGCTTTTAATATACGGTCTCATCTGTTTATCAAATCTTGAAAAGATGGGATATTTATTTAAAAAAATACAATATTAAAAGGCGTATAGTCTACTACCAGCTCATATACAACGATTATAATATATAATTATATATGTATTATAGTAATAATTACCAATATATAATCAACAACATAATTTTTGGCAATCAGCCATATATTTATATGTAGATGTATATGGACGTATACGTGTTGGTTATGATGGAATATATTCCTTATTGTACCTAAATTTCTGTATATCATAACAAAGAATATATATATATATATATATATATATATTAAATACAACTATTATTTAATAGTTCCAAGAAAATTTAATTTCAAAGGAATTAATGGGTGTGGGGAAATTATAGCATGCGATCGCGTATACGGGAACGTCGGGTGAGATATACGGAGCGAAGGCGACGATTAACGTGTGGGACCCATCGATACAGCAAATGAATGAGTTCAGTCTCTCCCAGATTTGGCTCCTGTCGGGATCTTTCGACGGCTCCGATCTCAACAGTATTGAAGCTGGTTGGCAGGTAAACCCTCCTTCTTTTACTTTGTTTACTATTTAGCCTCGATAAATTGATTTTGCAGGGAACCCCCCGAAATTAGGGTTTGTTTAAGCAATTTTTTTTTTAAAAAAAAATTAATGATTTATGAAAATGAGATAGATTTAAATGTTTTGCCTAAAGTTTTGATTATTCTACTAGTCAGGTCAGTCCGGAGCTGTATGGTGACAGCAAGCCCAGATTGTTCACTTATTGGACGGTATGCTTATTTCATTTTCCTATTTATTTATTTTGTTTATTATGATATATTTTTGTTTATTGTAAAACCTATTATGACTATTTATAAATGAAGCACACACACATGTGTACACATATAGGTGAAAAATCTAAGGAAACAAATTAATGCATAATTTATGCCCATATTTAGACGTTTAAATTTAATGATTTTATATTAATTATTTTATTTGCTGAATTATCTATCGAATAACATTGTTTCAACTTTCATCAAACAATTTTTTTTTTTTAAATTTCCAAATAATATGATATTTTAAAAATTAAATGCATTGGCACTAGAAATCTAAGCAGGTAGAGGATATTCATCAAATGAGGGTTGGTGTGGCATTCATTTGTTGCATTAATAAACTATAATCAATTGAGCCCAATAAACTTATAAACATATCCTCATGCATGCCTGTCGTAATTTGAAATATATTTTTGTAATTTTTATATTACAAGAATTAAATTGCCTACTCTATATTGATTAATTAATCTTGTCTATAGTAACGTTTTAAATTTTAAATGAATATCTATGATAATGTTTTTTTCATCAGAGTGATTCATATGAAGCAACAGGATGCTACAATCTTCTATGTTCTGGATTTATCCAAACAAATAACAGAATTGCCATTGGAGCTGCCATTTCTCCTGTCTCTACCTTCAAAGGCAGCCAATTCGACATCACCATCCTCATTTGGAAGGTACATATGATATATACATATATATAACAGATAGATACACATATACACTTTATAATAAGAATCTGAAAATAAAAAGAAACCCACTAATAGTTTTATATTTCTTTCTCTTTGTTTACTAAAAAAAAAAACAATGAAGGATCCAAAGCAAGGGAACTGGTGGTTGGGATTGGGAGACAAGACATTGGTAGGGTACTGGCCATCGGAGATATTCACGAGCTTATCCGACCACTCAACGATGGTCGAGTGGGGCGGAGAGGTCGTCAACTCTCGCCTCTCCGGCCGGCACACGTCCACTCAGATGGGCTCCGGCCACTTCCCGGACGACGGCTTTGCCAAAGCCTCTTACTTTCGCAACCTCGAGATCGTGGATTCCGACAACAACCTCGTCCCTGCCCGAGACGTCCAGACTTTGGCCGATAACTCCGGCTGTTACAACATCCAGAGCTTCCACAGTAACGAGTGGGGCACTTATTTTTACTATGGTGGACCTGGTTTTAGTCCTAGGTGTACTTGAACGAAAAAAATATGATTCGGGTTTGATTTTATTTTGTTTATTTTCGTGTGGTGTGTGTGTTTTTGGATATCGTCGTGATGGTTCAAATGTATGTAGCTTATTGGTTGAAGAGTTGAAATGTAGGGGCCAATGTCTATTTTTCTATAATTAAGGGTGGTCAAATTTAAGATTGCGTTTGTCCACTGTCTTAGTTCGCGATTATATGATATTAGAAAGAAAAAAAAAAGATCAGATATTTCCAAAAATACTTCGTAGGAAATGTGAGCAAAAGTTCAATAATAAAACCCTGAAATTTCCAAGTCGTCGTCGATTGGAATTTACAAACGATCATCATCGTCATCATCAACTTGCATCACAAGTTAAAACAAGTCGCAAAAAATTTATTACAAAGACCTCTCCGGTCAACAACACGCTATATGCACGAAATTAATCACTCATTTAGATTTATCTATTGAGGGTTACAGATAATCATAATCATAATCATAATAATAATGTTAGATTATGTAGAGATTTGAAAATTTCTGAATAAATAGAGGCAACCATCCTTTGGAGGATAAGAGAGTAGCACACACTTCTAAGTTCTTCAAATGATCATATCTTTCAGAATATTCAAAGGTGAGCCTTTACCCATTTCTTGGTTTCGACTTGAGACCTTTGTCCTTGGAAAATTCTTCGGCTGTCTCTATCAGCTCCTTGAAGCGTTAGGGCCAATGCATGTCCTGAGATGAACCTGCAACAGAGAATTTTCAGACATAAGAAGAAGATGGGATCTTTCTTGGCTTATATAATGGCTTATAGAGCACAAGGTGAGAGAGATCAACGTACCAAATACACCAAATTCCTTTAACTACATTTCGGTTTGCTTACTAATGGCTTCTTCACCTGTTCTTGTTCTTCTCTTTCTCATAATGGGTTTTCTCGGGGCGGTTTTCTGTGTTTCTTCCCCTGCAGAGACCAATACCCTAAACCCGGGGCAGATGCTCAGAGACTGGGAGCAACTGATTTCTCCAAGCGGAATCTTCAGGCTCGGGTTCTTTACCCCCGAGAAAACACCCAGCTCCTTACTCGGGCCGGCTGGTCCTCGGTATATTGGTATCTGGTTTGACAGAATACAGATAAACCCGGTATGGGTTGGCAATCCAATGAACCCGGTTATCGATTCCTCTGGTGCTTTAACCATTGGTCCAGATGGAATTCTTAAGATCACACAAGCGAACGGTTCTCCCATCATGGTGAACCCAAAACCCCAGCTTTCTTTGGCTGGAAATGTGTCAGCCACTTTACTTGATTCTGGGAACTTTATCGTCAGAGAGGTTGGAGCAGGTGGAGTTCCAGGCCGTGTTCTGTGGCAGAGCTTCGATTATCCCAGCAACGTGCTGCTTCCCGGGATGAAGATTGGGTTTAACTTGAAAACCGGAAAGGAAGTCTCAGTTAAATCTTGGATATGTAACCAAGTCCCTTCCCCAGGAGCATTCAGGCTTGGTCTGGATCCATCTGGCGCAGATCAGTTACTCATATGGCGCCGCAATGAAGTCTACTGGTCCAGCGGAATCTGGAAGAATGGAACTTCTTCCCATCTAAACCTGGAATTATCCCGGGAATACATTGATTATGAGTTCAAATTCCATTCAGACAAGTATGATAGATACTTCACTTACTTTATCAAGGACACAAACCAGTCAGTTCTGTCCAGGTGGTACTTGGATACTCTCGGCCAGGTAACAGTGAACAATGTGATCAGCAGCAATGGGAGCACTCACTGGATTCTTGAAAGCAGCGAAACATGCAGAACAGGTTTGAAGAATGCATCAGCACTCTGCATTTCGGAGAAACCAACGGCTTGTAGGAAGGGCTCGGAGTATTTTGAGCCAAAAAGAGGATACATGCTACAAGAATTAGGTAAAAACGACCTCAGTTATTACGATGGTAATTCAAGCCTGGATCTTAGCGATTGCCATGCTAGCTGCTGGAGAAACTGTTCTTGCATTGCCTTCCAAACCTTTTCTGGCGGCTTTGGATGCCAATTCTGGCCAAAGGGATCAAAGTTCACTCCTGAGGAGACGTCTGACCAATTAACTTATGTTCTCGATTCTGCAAAGCTCTGAGCTTTACCTATGGTACCATGAGATTGTCTCAAGAACTCCATATACTATTGCGCAAGAGAAAATCTGATGACATGTACAACTTATGTTCTCGATTCTGCAAAGCTCTGAGCTTTACCTATGGTACCGTGAGATTGTCTCAAGAACTCCATATACTATTGCGCAAGTGAAAATCTGATGACATGTACGCTAAAACTTATTATAGAAACATGATGACCAATACCAATAAAGAGCTAAGAGATACACTGCTATTATTCCATAGTTACCGCATTCTTTCTTCACCCATCTCGCATCAAAATCAATCACCCGGTTACCAACATCTGAGCCATAAGTTCATCTGGGATTCCAAGAACGACCAAACAGTGAGTTTGCAGGTGAAGTGTCCTGAGGGCCACAAAGTAAACGAGACAACAAGATGATCTCATTAGATTTTCCACTTACCTCGTGGAGTATGTAATGCGTGCATTGACCAGGTCTGCTCACATCCAAACAAACTCAGGTTGTCTTGTTAGACACAGACACATCCAAGCAGGACCATTTTTCTAATGGTTCCACCATTCAACGAGTCTCCATGAATGATCTTTCAGTTCCGCTCACATGGAGGATTTCACTTCATTCTGAATCTGGCTGTATTCTTTCCAGGTGTTCATATTCCTCAGTCTAAAAGACGAACATGAAATATATCCATATGGATTTGCATACGCATACATACGTGTCTTCGGCACAGATCTATATGGCCATTATGTAAGTATTATATGCATATGCAAACGTATATACTAATACGCACATGCCGAATATATAAATACGAAGAAACAAACAGAACCAGAGGTGGGCTACACGAATCAATGCGCAACTTTATGACGTACCTTCACAGAAAACTCAGTCAAACACTGTTAGAACCAAAAAACACATGCAATATACAACTGTGAGATAGGTTCAGAGAAAGATATAAAAGATGTGGGTGTCCTCTTTCTTCCAGGCATGAGATTTGATGTAAAAGGTTAAAAACTTACTGTAAAACCAATGAAACTGTACATATATCCACAATGGCAGAGCAGTAGCACATGCAAGCTGCAATAAAAAATGCTTGATCTTCTATGATCTTGCAGGATCAGAACAAAACAAGAAAATTCCAAGATGGCACAAAGTGTGAAAGGGGATATGAAATAAAATAAGAAGACAAAAAAGGGGTCCATGTGCTTGTCTTGATGTAGGTGGACTTATCATCAAAGCCTTGCTCAATAATGTAAATAAGCCTTCTCTCTTTCCTAGAATTCTGATTAAAAATCAAAATCAAAACGTATAATATTATCTCCTGCTCGTATGAATATCTGAAAAAGCTGAGAGCTTAATGCAAGTGTTTATATTTATCGACTATGTCCCTTTTCGGTCAAAGTCTTCTCATGATCCTAAACTGAATCAGCTTGTCTCAATCACCTATTATCCATTTACAGAAAAGAAAGTGCAGACTTTAGTTATGTCCCGTCCCGTTATATACACACACACACACGCGGGGGCATTCAAGCCAACTACTTTGTACTTAACTAAATAAATACTATATCAACTCACCTTCTCCCTCCCTTGCTCTCCTTCTCTGTTTCTCTCTGTTCTCTCTATTGCATGGCAACAGCATCAAAGTCACCTGATTCATCTTCCAATATGAATATCGTCATCGAAAGAAATCCGCCGAAATCAAGGTTATCAGAACTAGGAATCACATCATGGCCTAAGTATTCAAAATGCATATGTCACGTTCCTAACACTAAAATGCATATTCTCTTTCTCTTTTTTCCCTTCATTCTTACTGGTTATAACAGAGTATTATTCCTGATGAATCCCCTCATAAGTAGATGGGGCTGTCCACCTGGAAAATATGCACCGAGATTTGAAGCAAGACAGACATGCTACCTGCTCTGCGGAAAGGTGAAGGTTTATCCAAAAGGGTCATCAGAATTTGTAGAGTTTGAGACAGGCGACCTTGTGAGTTGTGACCATCCCCAAGGGCCTTAGCTGCACTTGGGATGTATTAGTTTCCACTGACAAACATTACAAGATTGAATCTCCATCTTCTCCATAAGTTTTTGTTTTTTTCTTCGTGATCTAATCTTGGGTAGTCTTCTTAACCATGAACATGAAACTTTATTCAGACAACAGACTATGGGGGGGGGGGGGGG